CCCCTCCCCTGTTCATGCTGTCTCTCTCTGTCCCAAAAATAAATAATCGTTGAAAAAAAAAAATAAAAAAAAACAACCAAGAACCCCACCATTTTCTTTCTTGAACACAGATCCCGAGAACCTTTCCCTTTCACTGTGCACAATCGCTAATTTCATCCCTGCGGCAGACAGTATTGGTGTCCTGCCCATCTCTTCTGGGCCCTCACCATTTCAGTGCACTCTGACCCGACTTCCAGTGGCAGAAAGGACAAGAGTCTTTCTGCCTGAGGGCTTGCTCTGGATGCCAGAGTGTGCACTGCCCAAATACTGATGCAACAGGCCACACAAGTTCAGAGAATTAACACTTCCAAAAACAGACATCAGTGACTGACATGAGCGGTATATTAATATCCCCAGTCCCTGACCCATTGGGTGGGATAGCTCTGAGGCATGTTTACATTGTCTCCCAGAAGCCCCCCAATTGCCCCCGAGTGTGATTTGATTGGTGACGCTCTCTTACTGAAGAGCTTCTCTTTCCAGTCTTACTTCCTCACCCCCAACCAGTGTTTTCTGGAATCTCCTCCCCCCAAAATAAATGTTTGTACTTGAATTCTTATCTCAGGGTCTGCTTCTGGAGAACTCAAACCAAGATGATTCCCATTTTTTTTGCATTAGTCCAATATATTTATAACTGCCATTGCCAATCAGAGCTCCTGATAACCATGAACCACCATGAGCTTCTATATGATTCCAAGTGAAAGCCGAGGAATATGGACGTTAGAGTCTGTGAGCAGCTTTCTGGGAGGCAAATGCACTGATTCCATAGGTCCTGCCAGTTTTCAAACATTGCTTAGTGCTGAGGCTAGCAGTTCAGCTCCATCCTTTTCCTCTATAACTAACGATGCTTGATTGTCAGGTTGCAACACACACCTGAGCCCATTCCAAATGCATAATTTATATACGAGACCTGGAGATGAATCAGAATTTCCAGTAGAAGCATTAGAAACAAAACAAAACAAAACCTACATCTCCAAGCCCAAGATTTGTGTCTTGTCCTATCTTTGTGGGAAAACTCATCATATTACTAAATTTGATTTAGCTTCAATTTAACAGATATAAAAAAGGTGACTAAAAATGGCACATTGAGCCCTTTATGACTACTATGAAGACGTAATCTGGAAAAGAGAAGAACATCTGACTGCTTCTGTATATTTTGGAACCTCAAATTTTCAGTCCCAGCCATGATGTGTGTTTCCAGTCTACTATGGACTGGGTTTTATTTGATCATTTACTTTGTTTTCCAATCCTCATTGGAATATTACTGAAAACAAGGTGCCCTGGTGCTTGCCATTTGCCCACCATGTATTAGGGCACTGCTGAGGAGTTCTGTACTAGAAGGTTCCATTCATTTGTTCGCTTAATAGTTAATGAGTAGCTAATGTGTGCCAGGCATTGTGCTAGGTATTAGAACACAGGTGTGCTCAAGTAATGGCTTCTGTCTTCACCGTATTTAACACCACACCAGCCCCTACTGCCCACTGGAACTCCTAGTCCTGCATATACTGTCACAGCTTTTCTTTTTTTCTCTACCAAAATCTCCTTTTAACATCTTATTTTTTAAAATTTTTTATTAAAAATTAAAAAAAAAATTTTAATGTTTATTTAGTTTTGAGAGAGAGGGAGCACAAGCAGGGGAGGAGCAGAGAGAAAGGGAGACACAGAATCCGAAGCAGGTTCCAGGCTCTGAGCTGTCAGCACAGAGTGGGACGCAGGGCTCGAACTCACGAACAGTGAGATCATGACCTGAGCCGAATGAAGTTGGATGCTCAACTGACTGAGTCACCCAGGCGCCCCCCACCCCCCAATTTTTTTAATATTTATTTATTTTTGGGATACAGAATACAAGCAGGGGAGGGGCAGAGAGAGAGAGAGGGAGACACAGAATCTGAAGCAGGCTCCACGCTCCGAGCTGTCAGCACGGAGCCCGACGCGGGGCAAGAACCCACGGAGCGCGGGATCATGACCTGGGCCGAAGTTAGATGCCCAACCAAATGAGCCACCCAGGCGCCCCAAACATCCTATTTTTAAATTAATGTTTACATTTATTATTTATTTTATGCCTCTGTATCCTAGAATGTAAGCTCAAGCAGGGAAGGGATTTAGGCCTATTTTTACTGTTAAGCAATCTCTAGCACTCAACACAATGCCTGCCTAATCAATATATATTTGTTGAAGGAATGAATGAATAGTTTAATGGGAAAGATAGGTCACTCACTCATATATTGTATATACTATATTCAAATGCTGAATCTCAGCCTTGGAACCATAGAATGTACCTACACGCTTTCAAAAAATATGAAATAAGAACCATGATGCAGGGTTTACTTCCATTATAGAAGTGCCACAAATAAATGGTTTGGGTAGTGTTGTCCCTAATGACTGTTAAAGCCATAAGAATTAGTTTTCAATCCATAATTAAGTGTACTTTTCTCCTTAAACTCCACAAATAATTTTTGTGGATAGAGTATTTACTAGAGCCAAGCATTAGGAAAGCAGTTAAGACATTGCAACACTATTATCTCAAAATCAGTAAACATATATCAACTCTATGGTGGTAATGATTTAATGGAACTCTTGCTTGTTTGTCTTAAATATAATGATGATATTACTATGGCTCAGAGGAATGAATTTGTTTTGGGGGGCGGGGATCTTAATGGGTCTGTTTCTTCTGTTTAAAGGCTTCTTTTGAAATAGCTTTAAGCTTTGTGGAAGTGAATCTGATTTCCTCCAATAATGTTCCATTTGGTTTAACTCTACTTACATGGCTGAAGTCCCCAGAACCAGACTTGAAAAGTATGCTTCCTAGTAAGGGAAATGTTCTGTAAAGCCAAATGCTTGCAGGCAGAAAGCACACATAATTTTCCTGCCCTCCTTTGCTAACAGTCCAAAGGGCACAGGGCCCCTCTGGGGTACTCACTCAGGATTTTGCAGATATCACTGACAGCTTTAAAAACCACAGCCGAGAAGCTGACACGCAATCTCACTGTCTTCACATTTGGCAGGCGGAGGCGGAGCATTTTATGCTGAGGGGTGAAGAGAAGCTTTGCATCTGCCTGGACTCCATATTTGTCCAGGGTCCAGTGTGTTTTCAGAAGCCAGCAATGCTTTTGTTCCCACCAAAGGGCAAAGTCTGACCAGTCTTGGGATATGTCTGCAAACATGAAAAATACGATGAAGTAGAATAAGAACGAACTTTAAGAGTCCATCCATTGTGTGCAAGAACTTCAACAAATGGGTCTTCAGCTCCCCATTCCCTTTTACAACCTAAGGCTTAACAAGCCTCAGCACCTCTTCAAAGTCTCTAAAGTGGGGTGGGTAGAAAACAGAGCCTGAACCTCATCACAGTGATGTTTAAAAATTTTTTTAACGTTTTTTATTTATTTTTGAGACAGAGAGAGACAGAGCATGAACGGGGGAGGGGCAGAGAGAGAGGGAGACACAGAATCAGAAGCAGGCTCCAGGCTCTGAGCCATCAGCCCAGAGCCCGACGCGGGGCTCGAACTCACGGACCGCGAGATCTTGACCTGAGCTGAAGTCGGAAGCTTAACTGACTGAGCCACCCAGGCACCCCCACAGTGATATTTAGATACCGTGAAAGAAACAGACACATCCTTTTGCAGGATCCTCTATTTCTCTTCCTCCTGTGGGGAGGGGGCTTGCTCTCTGAGCCATCGTAAGAAAAATAAACAGAAAAACTTAGATGATCAGACAGCCTAGATTAGCCATTTACTGTTATTACAACAGAGAGGGTTTCAAAGGTAGGGAAACCATCAAGAAACGGGAACTTACTGATCTGTTCTACTAACTTGAGCATCAGCCCCCCAACATGCAGGTCTCCAGCCACTCTCAATGTGACATCTTTCTGCTCCTCCTCATTTGGATGGTCAACTCTGACGACAAGCTCCCAAGAAGCAGATGCAAAGTCCGTGGATGAGAGCATCGTGGCAAAAGCAGGTGTCTGCCGACAAAAAGTGAGACATGGATCAGAAAGTGAGAAGGAAACAGGAGCTTGCCAGTACGTCCTGCAGGGCAAAACTTTCTTCCATTTTAGCCTCTTCTTCAGGAACTCTGCAGGGTTCCCAGTACTCAATATTAAATTTAACATCTGAACCTTGAAGACAAAAAGTCTTATAAGGTCTCAAGCTTTCCAGATTTGTGTAACTTTATCTTTCTATTCCCCCAGGACCTATTTTTTTTCTGTGCCTGCCCAATGCATCAATCTTCATTTTCTGTCTCTATGGACTTTTCTTGACTTTCTCTGAACTACTGTGGCAATAGGTAACAAATCATGGCAATCCTTGATATCTTTTTAAACAATCACTTTCATGGAAGTATAATTTGCATGCAATAAAAATGCACGGATTCTTTTTTGAGTATAGTTGACAATGTTACATTAGTTTCAGGTATCCAATATAAAGATTCAACAACTCTATGTTATGCTGTGCTCACCACAGAAATGCAGATTTTAAACATACAGTTTGATGCCTTTGTTATATACAAATGATGCCTCGATAAAGTTTATTTTAGAAAAGGATGCCATGAAAATCTTTATCTATGTATATTATTATATTCCTCCTACAAATATTGATGACATCTTCTGGTATGAAAATTAAAAAAACAAAAGTATAGCAAAATAGTTTCTATTTCAGTCATATAATATGTAGTTTTACCTTAAATGCATATGAAGATATAGGTCATTAACAATTATTGCCAGGTATTTGATTTACTTGAGTTACCATTTTATATTATATAAGAGTTGGTAAATTCAGTGCATCAATTAAGTTTTTGGACAAAACTCTGGTAAAAGATTGAAAACAGGAATGACAGACACACAAAGCCCACTCTTCAAAACACAGATGGGGTGAAAACTTCAGACTCAGAGTTTCCTCTCTTTCGAGGAACAAGAATAAAAATGAGCTAAGCAGTATCACAACTGACATGTTTCAGGGGGAAATAGGAACACTGAATCCAAAACTGGCTGAACTTAAAATGACAGCTCTGTTTTACTTTTCTTTTCTTTTTTTTTTTTTAAACAGGGGACTCTGCCTTGTTGGTTTTTTTTTTTAATGTTTATTTCTGAGACAGGGAGACAGAGCATGAGTGGGGGAGGGGCAGAGAGAGAGGGAGACACAGAATCTGAAGCAGGCTCCAGGCTCTGAGCTGTCAGCACACAGCCCGACACGGGGCTCGAACCCACGAGCCGTGAGATCATGACCCGAGCGGAAGTCGGTTTCTCAACCCACTGAACCCCCCAGGCAGCCCAGCTCTGTCTTACTTTTAAAACAGAAAGCACATTCTGCCCCTTCCCCGCTCATGTCCTGTCTCTTTCTGTTTCTCAAGAATGAATAAACATTACAAAAATTTTTTTTATAACAGAAAGCTCATGATACTACCCCTCCTGGCTATTTAAAGATTTAAAATAGGGCGCCTGGGTGGGTCAGTTGGCAAGTGTCCGACTTCAGCTCAGGTCATGATCTCATGGATCGTGAGTTTGAGCCTTGCATCGGGCTTTGTGCTGTCAGTTCAGAGCCTGGAGCCTGCTTCAGATTTTGTGTCTCCCTCTCTCTCTGCTCCTCCCCCACTCACACTCTCTCTCTCAAAAATAAATAAACATTAAAAAAAATTTTTTTAAAGATTTAAAATAAAATTATCAGGCATTTAAATGATAACACATCTTTTTCATTTTACTACATAGAGACGGCTTATAAGAGATGCATGTTTTCTTTAAGGCCTATTTTTTTTTTTTAACATGAAATTTATTGTCAAATTGGTTTCCATACAACACCCAGTGCTCATCCCAACAGGTGCCCTCCTCAATGCCCATCACCCACTTTCCCCTCCCTCCCGCCCCCCATCAACCCTCGGTCTATTCTCAGTTTTTAACTTAAGGCCTATTTTTGAGAAACATCAGTACACTCCAACTCCTAAGAAGGAGCTTCTCCGATGGAAAGTGCACAAGTCCGCTGGGCATCTATTAACCTGCAGATTCTGTTCAGCAGATTCTGTTCAGAGGTGGAGACCCTGCATTTATAACAAGCTCCTGGTGACACTGGTCTGTGGCTCACACTTTTGAGTCCAGACAGCCACGTGAACAATCAGCTCCAGGACTCAGTCCCCCCCTTCAACCTACCCCAAATCGATATTAAGCCAGGGACCATGGTGATACCTGAGAAACATTACTTTTAATAATAAGTAATAATGATACCACCAGTGTTATACCAGTTTTTTGTGCATTTGAAACTGTTCACGTTTGAAAGCATCAGAGAATCTCAAAATACACAAAAATGATACACTGCAAATCTGAACAGGCTTAGGACAGATTTCATTTGTTCAAATCAAGTTCAAGAGTTCGGAAGCAGCGCCTTGTGTTTTTATGACCAGAAGGAGCCCAGCGATGTAACGCTTGTACCTCTGCATGCACAGAGGCACCTGCGGACACCTCTTGCATGGGCAGTGAATGCTATGCAATTGGGCCTAAACTCTCACTTCACTGTCATCATCAGGCTCAAGTATCATTTATTCTGTACTTACCTGGTGAAGTATTCTGTGTGAACCATGGAGTACGTGTTATCTTCTTTACCTGCTCAGCAATCCCATTTAGAAATGAGGAAACTCGGGCTCTGAGAGGTAAGGCAACTTGTTGGAAGTCACACAGCAAGTTAGATGGTGGAGCCCAGACAGAAATCCAGGTGTTTCTAGCTCCAAACTTTCAACCACTACACTGGAACACGTCCTTGACAAAGTTGCAACACCAATATGAACTAAAACTCTTACAACCACATGAGCTAAACTCTCAGGAGCCTTCACTAAGTGTTTCTACTAACATCTTTCCCAGTGAGGAGGCAATAAAGATAACTCCATAACTTGGCATTGAACTATTTGACTTCAAGACCCTCACAATTTCTAAAACGCTATGGTTTGAGGTTTAGGTATTTTAAAAAATTTGTACTTTCAAGCGACTCCTTACTGCTTATTTCATGAGTATCAGTCATAGGTCTTTTCCTAACCTGGGCAGTCAAAACACTTCTCACCTAGGCAATACATGGTGATTCCCTTACAGCGAAATTCAGGCTAAAATTAGACAATCTGGTTTCCCCACATTCCTCTCCTATCTTTCTGCACCTTCATTTTTGAGAGAACTCATCTGCAGCAAGCTGTTACTTGTTGAGGAGAGCAGCAAACTTCAACGGGGAAAGTACATCCAAGGAGACCAGAACGGGAAGCAAAGTGCACCAGCAGACCTGCCTTCCCTGGGTGAAGCCCAGCTGTCCACCTTGCAAACAGAAAATGCAAGAAAGAAGGACAGACATAGAGGCAGACAGGCGGCCAGACAGAAAAACGGGGGAAATAGCCCCTGATGCTTCCCCTAGAAGATCAGAGTGCCTGTCCAAAGGCCCCTGGGCCTGTCGGTTTGCAGCCCTGCAGGGTCCTGGGGCCAGGAGGTGTGTGGTGTGTGGATAGAAACCTGCTCCTCGACCCATGAGCGCAGCCCCTGAGGCTAGACGGAGAGTTTATTTTGCGAGACCAGATACGCAAGGCTGGGGAAAGTGGTCCCAAGCAGGGACATTACTTTTAATTCAGCACCTATTTACGTGCAAAGGGCTGCTGAAAAGAAGAGGTAGGGGTTTCGGGCATCGGTGGTGCCCGTTTCAGTCCCCTATCCGCCCCCGCCAGCCCTCGGCACCCACCTGCTTTCCGGCCGAGGGTGGCGTGCAGCCTCGCGGACGCGCACGTGGACGCCTGCGCCCCCAGAGCCGGAGCGGAGGCGCCCCCCGCCCGGCCGGCGCGCGAAGGTGGCGAAACTGGAGAAGCGGGGCGCCGGGGCCCGCGCTCGCGGAGGCGGCGGCTCCGCTGGTCTGGGCCGGCCGTGCTGCGCGCGGCCGCTGCGGGAAAGCCGCCCGTGACCTCCTGCCGAAGCTCGGCGCCCGCCTCCAGCGGGGCGCCGGGTGCGCGGTCTCCGCCCTGCGCGAACCCCGGAGGCCGGGCCGCGGCAGGTGAGGGCACGCCCAGCCCCGGGCCTGCTGGGTCTCGCTCCCGGAGCGGAGAAGCGCTCCGCAGAGTTGTGAGGGCCGAGGGTGGCCGAAGGGCTGCGGCGGGATGGCGGGGAGAACCGGGGCGGACGCTCACCCTCTGCGCCCCTCTAGCGACCTTTCAGCCGACCCTCGCAGGCCGCCTCCAGTTTTCCCGGTTCCCCGAGGCGCCGCTGGGGCTAGCAGCCCGGGTGGTTAGACTGGCTACGTCCCCTGCCCTCCAGGTATACCTGTCACTCACACCCCGGGGGTACGTCCAGGCCCGGAGAGTCCCATGTCTCCTTTAAAGAGCCTGGGGACCTGCGATCACAAGAGCGGCTCGTCTCTGAGTAAGAGGATGATGTAGACCCCGGAGAAGGGCGAGGCGCCGCAAATATGCACAATGGGAGACCCAGGGGCAACCCAAGGCCATGCCCCAGGCCGGAATCCGGTGGCTCACCTCAGATTCACCACCTGGTGCAGCCCGTCGCCTCCGGTCGGATTTACTCCCGAAGAGGGCTGGGCCACCCTGAAGGGTGGGTGACTGGGCAGTTTACACAACCTGTCCAAGCCTCCTTGGTTCATATTACGCACATCCGTTGAGTGTTTACTACGTGCTGGGCCTGGGGCTGAGCTCTAAGGATGCAGTGGTTTTATAAAAAGTCAAGGCATTGATAGTTTCCTCATCTGTGAAATGGGTAGAGAGATGGAAAGTCCACAGCCACTGCAGGGTGGGATTTCATTCAGTTCATGGCAGAATTTCATGCAGTATAATATAGGCTTTAAGCGATTTACACCAAGTACATAACGCTTGTAAGAACTTCATTTAAAATGCTATAAAATTTAGAAGTGGAATCTTTGTTTTTGCTTGAACATTACCATATTCGGCCGTTGTAATGGGTTTTGAAAGTATTTTACATTTAATTTTAAA